GAGAAGCTGTGGCTGCCCCATCCCTGGCAGTGTTCAAGGCCAGGTTGGACACAGGGGCTTGGAGCAACCTGCTCTAGTGGAAGGTGTCCCTGCCCGGTGCAGGGGTTGGAGCTGGAGGATCTTTAAGGTCCCTTCAACCCAAACCAGTTTGTGATGCTATGACTGCTGGCCCTGCAGTGGATCATAGACAGGCTTGGCCTTGGCTGGGAAAAAGGGCGCTGAAGTAGGATTTTGTGCTTCCATTCAGGGGGTTGGTCCAGCTTCTCTGAGGTGGCTCAGCATGTCCATGGTGCAGAATTGAAACTGCTGCTGCTTCTCTGAACAGGGGTTGTTCTTCTGTGGTGTGCAGCAAACATGCTACATACGGACCCACCATCATATGGATATTTATTGCCTTTAAGGGCCCTGTTTGCAGAGACCACTGGGATAATCTGAGTCTCCTGTTCCTCTGCAGCATTTGTCTCTCAGACTGGTGTTACAGGGGGCTTCTGTATGTGCCCCTGTACTAATGTGGAAAGGCAGCTTGTACATGAGTGGATTTACAGCTTGGAGCCAATAGATACAATATCCAGACTGGAACCAGGATGTCATCCGAGCAGGATCATGGCTGGCAGGAAGGGACACTCTTATGGCAGTAGATCAGGGCTGGGTGAGAAGCCCTCACCAGTGTCTCTGCTGGCTGGTACCACATCAGGGTTGTGGCAGCAACTGATACTGGCTCTGGCGTGCTCACCCGTGACTGTACTCCAGAGCCATGAAGGAGCAGGCATCTCCAGGCTGTAAGGTGGCCTGAGGGCTCCCAGTGGCACCATCACCAGCTCAGATAACTTGCTGTTAAAGCGTGGAAGGGCTGCAGGGAGGTTTTCTTAAATGCAGTTATTCAGCTTAAATTAATGTAGTTTTTTCTGATCTATTTGGCCTTGATGATCTCAAAGGTCATCAAGTCTTTTCCAACCCAGCTGATTCTGAGTTGAACTTGAGTGCTCCTTCTCCTCCTGCTCTGTTCTGCAGCTGAACCAGCCTTTGCCTGAGGCTCCAGGCAGCCCCTGGAACAAAACCCCACACGTGTCATAAACCCCTGTGTGAGTTTCATGTTCTCTTTGATAACACTGAGGATATTACTGGCTCTTGGTGACAGCTCTGCTTGGTTTGCTTTGCAAATCTGTTTCTAAGGTATTGCCTCCTGCTGGTGAAGGCAGTCACTAGTTGACCAGTTTTTGTGGGGGCAAACTCAGGTTGAAAAGTGTCTCCACTCTAGGAAAGTTACAAATAGATGCAGAAATCAATGCAGTGTGTGTTCTGTTCTGCAGGGGTGGAGTAGTCTATGTGGGAGGTTATGTTTCAGTGCTTACTGAAGGTCCACCATCATTGCAACATCTCTGTAAGATGTCCATCAGCTCACATACGAGTTGCTGTCACTGTGGGGACATCAAGTGTGGTGGGTTTTTCTCTGTGTTGCTCTGATTTATCTTTTCCCCCTCTCTTTTAGGTTTTCTAGTTCTCTTCATGGTAGTGTTCAGGAGTTTGTGTTTGTGCCTTCTTCTTGTAATTGGCAGTGACTTCATTTCCTTCTCTGCTGAGTCTTGGGAGAAGATGGTAAAGTATTTGTCCATGTTCTTTAGGCATTCAGACCTCTTCCAGTTGATGGTTCCAACAGGATGGAAGTTAAATGTAATAACTTCTTCTATGCACCTCAAACCTACCAGAGATACGAGTTCCTAAAAACCACCTCTCAACCTTCTGCTGTGCTTTGTTCCAGGCACAGCTACGAGCTTTCATCCCTGAGATGCTGAAGTATTCCACAGGTCGTGGGAAACCAGGCTGGGGCAAGGAGAGCTGCAAGCCCATCTGGTGGCCTGAGGACATTCCATGGGCCAACGTCCGCAGCGATGTCCGCACAGACGAGCAGAAGCAGCGGGTGCGTATCCCCCACGTCTGCTGCCTTCAGACGGAGCACTGGGGCTTGCAGCCAGGGCGGGTGGGGATACTTCTCCCCTTGAGTGACAAAAGAAACCATGGCATTGGCCTTCCATAGGAACACAGACTGGTTTGGGTTGGAAAGGACTTGTGCAGGCTGACTTGTGCACCTTCCTATGGAGACAAGCTGAGAGAGCTGGGCTTGTTCAGCCTGGAGAAGAGAAGGCTCAGGGGGGACCTGATCGCTCTCTGCAACTGCCTGACAGGAGGATGGAGCCAGGAGGGGGCTGGTCTCTGCTCCCAAGGAACAAGGGATGGCACAAGAGGAAAGGGCCTCAAGCTGCCCCAGGGCAGGTTTAGCTGGAGCTGAGGAACAATTCCTTGCCCAGAGGGTGCTCAGGCATTGGAACAGGCTGCCCAGGGCAGGGCTGGAGTCACCGTCCCTGCAAGTGTTCACAGCCCGTGGAGCCGAGGCCTCATCAGTGCCAGGGGTTAGTGGTGGCCTTGGCAGGGCTGGGAGTGGTGGGACTGGATCTTAAAGGACCTTTCCAACCTGGCTGATTCTGTGATTCAGTGACAAGCTCACGGATCACAGCAGCAGCAGCCCTGCAGTGCTTCAGAAGCTTTCTGACCCTGTCCCTCCCTGTCCCTCATTCTCCTGGCAGGTATCATGGACCCAGGCGCTGCGGACGATCGTGAAGAACTGCTACAAGCAGCATGGGCGTGAGGACCTGCTCTATGCCTTTGAGGATCAGCAGACACAGCAGCAGACAACAACCACACATAGTATAGCACACCTTGTGCCATCACAGACAGTGGTACAGACCTTCAGTAACCCTGATGGCACAGTGTCCCTCATCCAGGTGAGTGAAACCCTCTGGCTTTTCCATTTCCAACCCAGCTGAGTTGGGATTGAGTTGTCTCCATCAGGGAGGTGGTTTAGAGCAAACTCCTTTTGGTAGCTTATGTTGTCCTTCAAGAATGTTGTCTTTATTTGTATGTCTCAGCCTCAGGCTTGTTAACCCACTGCTCCCACCCAAAAGAAACAGCCTCATCCTCTCTCTTCCCCACTCCTATCCCTTGTTCTCTTGTTTTGGCAGCACAAGGTTTCCTGCAGCTATTTGGGCAAGTGGTTCAGGGAGCTGACCTGAGTTTAATGAACCTGCTTATGAACAAATACAGTTCATGATGTGGCCACACAATGCCTGTGTGGGCAATGGGATGGAGTGATGGGAGAGAGGTGGTGGGACTGCCTTTCTTTAATGGTATGAAACGTAGCTTGATCTATCATTAGATATTTCTGTACCCTCTGGTCTGCATCTTACACCTCAAGTGTAATATAGATATTGTACACACCAAATATATATGTATCTTATGATTCTTATTCCTATGATTCCATGACCCTCTGTGGTAAGGATGCCTCTCAGAGAGGGGATTGAGCGTAGAGGAGGCTGCGTTCAGGCAGGAGCTCAGTGGTGCTGCTCTTCTCCCTGCATTCCCAGTGGGGGGAGGCAGGTTCTGGCAGCTCAGGACGTTAAAAACTTCCCAAGAGCTCCTTGGGGGTGTGGGATTTGAACCTCACTTTCCCCTGTGCCCCTGCTTCCAAACCACCACTGCCCTCTGGTACCTAACGGGCCCAGTGCTCTGCCCCTCCTGAGCATCACGGTTTTAGGGATGCTCAAACACTCTTCTCATCTCACAACCCTCAAGATAAACCCATGGTGTGGGGCTTTGTTTTGGGCTTGTTTGTTTTGTCAAATTAAAGCTTTTCAGCAGTTCTTGCAGCTTTCTGTTCCCCTCACCAAGGCCAGGCAGACTTGCCAAGCTGGTTCTGTTTGCTTACCTGCTAACACACGTTTTCCCTTTGACTGGTGTTCTTTTAGGTGCTGGGCACCTGAGATCCCATTGACTTTCTGACATTTATAGGTTTAATTCTCCTTAGAAACAAAGCTACACATCTCCCTGCCTTTGTCCTTTCCCAGCTGTTAAATAGGGAAAAGGTAATTTCCAAAGCCAATGGGGTATTGAGGATGAGCTAATGTTTGCCAAGTGCCTGGAAACAAGAGGCCCAGTGTATGGTAAGCAAGGAGTGTTATAATGAGGGCTGATGTGCAGGGTGTTCTGACCCAGGACTACTTGGTGGTTTAAGTGACTTCCATCCCAAAGGAAATGTGTGTTGGGTCCACCAGTGCACCATGTTCACGCTTGGGAATGGCAGCAATGTCCCACTGCTGCTCCTTGTAAGAAGGAGAATGTAAGGATTTGTCTCCTACATGAACATAGAGAACAGCACGAGGGCTGTGCAAAACTTGCTTCTGGGCCATATCCACTCTGGAAGCTGCCATAGATTAACAAGGCTCCAGTGATTCCTACACCTGGGTTGGGGCAACCCCAGGCACAGCTACAGGTTGGATGGAGAAGCACTTGGCTGTTGGGTGATGAGAAGCTCCTCATGACCCACGCGTGTGTTCTTGAGCCCAGAACTCCCCTGTGTGCTGGGCTGCACCCCCAGAGCGTGAGCAGCAGGTCGAGGGAGGGGAGTCTCCCCTTCTGCTGTGCTCTGGGGAGATCTCACTCCCTGGGTGCGGTGCAGTTCTGGGGTCCCCAGCGTCAGAAGGACATGGAGCTGTTGGAGCAAGTCCAGAGGAGGTCACGAGGATGATCAGGGGCTGGAGCAGCTCC